ACAGCTAAATCAGTACTAAGAGGGACATTTATAGCACTAAATGCCCACATCAGAAAGCTGGAAAGATCTCAAATTGACACCCTAACATCACAATTAAAAGAACTAGAGGACTCTGGGAGGCCGAGGCGGGTGGGTCACGAGGTCAGGAGATCAAGACCATCCTGGTCAACATGGTGAAACCCCGTCTCTCCTAAAAATACAAAAAATTAGCTGGGCACGGTGGCGCGTGCCTGTAATCCCAGCTACTCAGGAGGCTGAGGCAGGAGAATTGCCTGAACCCAGGAGGCAGAGGTTGCAGTGAACCGAGATTGTGCCATTGCACTTCAACCTGGGTAACAAGAGCAAAACTCTATCTCAAAAAAAAAAAAAAAAAAAAGAACTAGAGCAAACAAATTCAGCATCTAACAGAAGACAGGAAATAACTGCTATCAGAGCAGAACTGAAGGAAATAGATACATGAAAGACCCTTCAAAAAAAAATCAGTGAATCCAGGAGCTGGTCCCTTGAAAAAGTTAACAAAATAGATAGACAGCTAGGTAGACTAATAAAGAAGAAAAGGGAGAAAAATCAAATAGACACAATAAAAAATGATAAAGGAGATATCACCACTGATCCCACAGAAACACAAAATGTCATCAGAGAATATTATAAACAGCTCCGCAGAAATAAACTAGAGAATCTAGAAGAAATGGATAAATTCCTGGACATCTACACCCTCCCAAGACTAAACCATGAAGAAGTCAAATCTGTGAATAGACCAATAATAAGTACTGAAATTGAGGCACTAATAGCCTATCAACCAAAAAAAGCCCAGGGCCAGAAGGATTCACAGTCAAATTTTACCAGAGGTACAAAGAAGAACTTGTACCATTCCTTCTGAAACTATTCCAAACAACTGAAAAAGAGGGACTTCTCCCTAACTCATCTTATGAGGCCAGCATCATCCTCATATAAAAATCTGGCAGAGAGAACAAAAAAAGAAAAATGTCAGGCCATATCCCTGATGATGCAAAACCCCTCAATTAAATACTGAGAAACTGAATCCAGAAGCACATCAAAAAGCTTATCTGCCACAATCAAGTCAGCTTTATCCCTGGGATGCAAGGCTGGTTCGACATATGCAAATTAATAAACGTAATCCATCACGTAAATACTACCAATGACAAAAATCACATGATTATCTCAATAGATGCAGAAAAGGCCTTCAAGAAAATTCAACATCTCTTCATGTTAATACTCTCAATAAACTAGGTATTTATGAAACATATCTCAAAATAATAAGAGCTATTTATGACAAACCCATAGTCAATTTCATACTGAATTGACTAAAACTGGAAGCATTCTCTTTGGAAATTGGCACAAGACAAAAATATCCTCTCTCACCCCTCCTATTCAACATAGTATTGGAAGTACTGGCCAGGGCAATCAGGCAAGAGAAAGAAATAAAGCGTATTCGAATAGGAAGAGAGAAGGTCAAATTGTCTCTATTTGCAGATGACATGATTATATATTTAGAAAACCCCAGTGTCTCAGCCCCAAAACTCCTTAAGCTGATAAGCAACTTCAGCAAAGTCTCAGGAAACAAAATCAATGTGCAAAATCATAAGCATTCTTATACACCAACAATAGACAAGCACAGAGCCAAATCATGAATGAACTCCCATTCACAATTGCTACAAAGAGAATAAAATGCCTAGGAATACAGCTTCCAAGGAGCGTGAAGGACCTCTTCAAGGAGAAGTACAAACCACTGCTCAAGGAAGTAAGTGAAGACACAAACAAATGGAAAAACATTCCATGCTCATGGATAGGAAGAATCAATATTGTGAAAATGGCCATACTTCCCAAAGTAATTTATAGATTCAATGCTATTCCCATTAAACTGCCACTGAATTTCTTCACAGAATTAGAAAAAACTACTTTAAATTTCATATGGAACCAAGAAAGAGCCTGTATAGCCAAGACAATCTTAAGCAAAAAGAACTGAGCTGGAGGTATCATGCTACCTGACTTTAAATTATACAAAAAGCTACAGTAACAGAAACAGTATGGCACTGGTACCAAAACAGACATATAGACCAATGAAACAGATCAGAGACCTCAGAAATAACACCACACATCTACAACCATCTGATCTTTGACAAACCTGACAAAAACAAGTAATGGGGAAAGGAAATCCTATTTAGTAAATGGTGCTAGGAAAACTGGCTAGCCATATGCAGAAAACTGAAACTGGACCCTTTCCTTTCATTTTATACAAAAATTATCTCCAGATGGATTTAAGACTTAAACATAAAACCCAAAACCATAAAAACCTTAGAAGAAAATCTATGCAATACCATTCAGGATATAGGCATGGGCAAAGTCTTTATGACCAAAAGCAATTGCAACAAAAGCCAAAATTGACAAATGAGATTTGATTAAACCAAACAGCTTCTTTTTCAGCACTGTAAAAGAAACTAGCATCAGAGTGAACAGGCAACCAACAAAACGGGAGAGAATTTTTCCAATCTACCCATCTGACAAAGGTTTAATATCTAGAATTTACAAGGAACTTAAATTTATAAGAAGAAAACAACCTCATCAAAAAGTGGCAAAGGATATGAACAGACACTTTTCAAAAGAAGACATTTATGCAGCCAATAAACATATGAGAAAAGGCTCATCATTACTGATCATTAGAGAAATGCAAATCTAAACCACAATGAGATTTCATCTCACATCAGTAAGAATGGCAAGTATTAAAAAGTCAGGAAACAATAAATGTTGGCAAGGCCATGGAGAAATAGGAACACTTTTACACTGTTGATGGGATTGTAAATTAATTCAACCATTGTGAAAGACAGTGTGGCGATTCCTCAAGGAATAAATGAAATATCATTTTGACCCAGCAATCACATTGCTAGGTATATACCCAAAGGAATATAAATCATTCTACTACAAAGACACATGCACACTTATGTTTACTGCAGCACTATTTACAATAGCAAAGACATGGAACCAACCCAAATGCCCATCAATGATAGATTGGATAAAGAAAATGTGGTACATATACACCATGGAATACTATGCAGCCATGAAGAAATGAGATAATGTCCCTTGCAAGGGAGGGAGAGCATTAGGACAAATACTTAATGCACTTGGGGCTTAAAACCTACATGATGAATTGGTAAGTGCAGCAAACCATCATGGCACATGTATATCTATGTAACAAATCTGCACAATATGCACATGTATCCTAGAACTTATAGTTGAAACATACACTAACACAAACCCCAAAACTAAAATATAAACAAAAACTAAAAGGAAAAAAAGCCAATAAAGGAAGAAAAAAACAAGTGATAGCACTTTGTGATTTTCTTCAGCTCCCAGGTCGCATAAATAAGTGTGTGATGTGTTCTGAATATGAATCACAGAACAATTCTGCTGGGCCTTCTCCCTTTAGTCATTCCAAAGAAGCCATGTTGGAATCATGGCTCATAGACCTATTGTCCTGGCTTCCCCTAATAACACGTGAGAGATAGGGGATGGGATAAGGGTGGTGGGTGTGGCAAGGAACAATGAGAAATGATGTCCTGCTAAACTAAATTCTGATTTTTAATCAATAATTATTTGGTAAACTCAAATAGTAGGACTCTTGGAAGAGATCAACAAAGTATTTTAAAAATTGGAAGTTTTGAGATTACTTTGATCATTTACTTCATCAGTGAAAAATTGTCAACACTTCCAAATACACACATATTTATTTTTATAAATATATATGCATGCACCAATATTCTTAGATAATATCCAAAGGCAGAGCATATATTTAAAAAGTTTGTCACCCTCAAAAATGGACATAATTTTCTATATAATATAGTCTTTATGACAATTTCTAACTTGAGCTACTTTGTGCCAGGTGTGATTAATTTGCCGTTGTTTTTACTTATTATTTAGTATGATTTGGTTGACAGAGTCTGTATTTGGAGTAGAAAAATGTCAGCTCTGAAAACAAGGTATGGCATATTTGGCCTTGCATATCACTATTTTAAAGTGCGATAAAGTTTCTTGTAGTTATTGTTATGAAATTCGTGTCCATTTTGGGGGGCACTACTTTACCTAAAACTTGTAAACTCATGATTGAACACAGGCTACAATATTTGGCAATGCATGACAAGTGGGTCCCAGGGACAGCCCCTTCAGGTGAGCCTCCCTGCCTTCAGGTTTCTCCTGTGGGCTGACAACAAAGGAGCCCAGGGCTACTTCAGAGATTTAAGCAAAGCATTAAAGGGGCTACTGCCTCTGGCTTGTCTCAAGTAGATGGGATTACAGGCAAGGGCCACCATGCCCAGCTCTTTGTATCATTGTTTAAACTATAAACCAGAGTTTAATAGAAATACAACCAGTCTAGAAAAACTCAAACCTATACATAAATCAAAACCAGAAGGCTGGATGCTGGGGATCTATTGGCCCGGCTTCCCCTAATAACAAGTGGGATATAGGGGGTTGGAAAAGGGTGGTGGGTGTGGCAAGGATCCTTTGGCTTAGCTGGCTCCCAAATGAAAACAAACAAAGAAAACAAACATTAATATGTTATCAAGAAAATAACATATTAATAGGATAGGATTAGGATTATTGTTATCAGAAAAAACAACCAGCATACAGTAGAAAGGGCAAAGGTGCACTGGTTTGTTTTGTTTGTAATTTAAAGCAGACCTCTCTAACCTGATAGACATTCTTATCCACCCCTCAATCCTTGCTGGTTTGACCCATGGATAATTAGACCTTGCCATTTTCAAGCCATAGTCCTCTTTAATTTTATTTTTAACAGAAAAGCCTGTTTCTGTTTTTACTGGAGGCTCACATGGCCCCATAGACCTTTTAAAAACACAATTTTTTATTTTGAAATAATTATAAATTCACATGAAGTTGTAAGAAATAATACAGATCATGTCATCTGTGAACAGAGATAATTTTACTTCTTTTTTCCCAACTTGTATTATTCTATTTATTATTCTTACCTCATTGGTCTGGCTAGAATTTCTAGAATGATTCTAAGTAGAAGTGGCAAAAGCAGGCATCTTTGTCTTATTCCTTCCCTAAGGGGAAAAAGTTTTCAATCTTTCATTGTTTCCAATGTTGCAAGTTGTGGGTTTTCATTATGCACGCCCCCCCCCCATCATCTTGATTGGATGGTTTCCAAGAACTATGGATGATGTGGGAAGAGTGCAACCTGGGCGGGGCATGGAAGCAGGAGGATCACTTGGGCCCAGGAGTTAAGAGACCATCTTAGGCAACCCCGTCTCTATGAAAAAAAAAAAAAAAAAACAAACTGCCAAATGTGGTGGTGTTCACCTGTAATTCCAGCTACTTGGGAGGTTGAAGCAGGAGCATTGTTTGAGCTCAGAAAGCCAAAGACATAGTGAGCTATGATCACACCACTGCCTTCCAGCCTGGGTGATAGAGTGAAACTCTGGATCAAAAATTAAAATAAATTATAATAAGTTAAATAAATATAAAGGAGAAATAATACAGAGATCCCATGCACTCTTTACCCCGTTTGTCCAATGATGACGTCTTACGAAGTTACAGCACAATATTATAGCCAGGAAAGTGGCATTGAGACAATATACTTTTCTTCTTAGTTTCCACTCATTTTATTACATTCATTTCTTGTGTGTTTGGGTATTTGGTTCTATACAATTTATCACATGTGTAGATTCATGTATATATATGCCTGTTGATGTATATTTACTTCACTGTAGCAAAGATAATAGGACAATTCCACCCCTCATCATTACAAGGATTCTGTGTTACACTTTTTTTTGGGGTGGTTTCTTGCTCTATTGCCCAGGCTGGAATGCAATGGCATGATCTAGGCTCACTGCAACTTCTGCCTCCTGGGTTCAAGTAATCCTTCTGCCTCCTGGGTTCAAGTAATCCCTCTGCCTCAGCCTCCTTGTACCTAGGACTGCATGTGTGCACCAGCACATTTGGCTAATTTTTGTACTTTTAGTAGAGATGGGATTTCATTGTATTGGCCAGGCTGGTCTCAAATTTCTGACCTCAAGTGATCTGCCTGCCATGGCCTCCCAAAGTGCTAAGATTGCAGGCATAAGCCACCGCACCTGGTCCATGTTGCACTCTTATAAGCACATTCACAGTCCTTTCCTTTCTTCCACGTCCCTCTTCCCACATCATCCATAGTTCTTGGAAACCATCCAATAATTTCTCAATTTTTAATGTTTCATCCTTTCAAAAATATTATATACAGGAAATAATAGAATACAGAACCTTTTGAAATTGGCTTTCGTTTTTTTTTTTGAGATGGTCTTGCTCTGTCACCTAGGCTGGAGTGCAATGGCACCATATCCACTCACTGCAACCTCCACCTCTTGGGTTCAAGTGATTCTCCTGCCTCAGCCTCCTGAGTAGCTGAGATTACAGGCGTATGCCACCATGCTGGCTAATTTTTGTATTTTTAGTAGATACAGGGTTTCACCATCTTAGTCAGGCTGGTCTTGAACTCCTGACCTCATGATCTACCTGCCTTGGACTCTTAAAGTGCTGGGATTACAGGCATGAGCCACCATGCTCAGTCAAAATTGGCTTAACAATTAGCAGAATTCCCTAGGTATTTATCTAAGTTGTATCTATCAACATTTTGTTCTTTTCTGTTGCAGGTTAGTTTTCCAGGGAATGGATAATTCATAGTTTTGTTTAATTATCTACCTGTTGAAGGATGACTGAACTGATTACAGTCTTTGCCTATTACAAGTGAAGCTGCTGTGAACATTCCTGTACAGATTTTGTGTAGATATGGGTTTTTCTTTCTTTGGAATTAATACTAAAGGGTACAATTCCTAAGTTGTATAGTAATGGCATACATAATTTTCTAAGAGACTGTCAAACTGTTTTCCAGCCTGGCTGTACCATTTTTTATTTCCACCAGTGACATATAAATGATCCATATTTTTCATATTCATGACTGCATTTGGTGATGTTGCTATCTATAAATTTTAGTCATGTTGACTGATGTGTAGTGATATCTCATTATGATTTTAATTTTCATTTTTCTAATAGCTAGTGGTGTTGAACATTTTTTCATGTGTTTATTTTCCATCATCTGTATCTCCTCGTCAGCGAAATTTCTGTGGATGTCTTTTGCTCACGTAACCCAGATTTGCTTTTACTGTTAAATTTTAAGACTTTTTTTTTAAATTCTAGATACTAATTCTTCATTGATAGTGGCATTTGCAAGCATTTTCCCCAGTCTATAGCTAGTCCTTTCATTTTCATAATGGAATCTTTAAGTACATTTTAAAAATTTTGATAGTTAAATTTATTAGTGTTTCTTCTTATGGATTATACTTTTGGTGTAGTTTAAGAAATCTTAGATCCTGAAGATTTTTTTTTTCTATTTTTCTCTAAAAGTTTTAAAGTTTATGGCTCACATTTATGTTTGTATTTATTTTGATTAATTTTTTATGAGCTATAAGACTTAGGTTGTGATCATTTTTGTGCCTATCGCTGTTCAATTTCTCCAGCACTGTTGTTGAAAAGATTTCCTTCTTCCATTGAATTGCTTTTGTATCTTTATAAAAAACTCAGTTGGCCATATTTGTGTAGGTCTATTTCTGGGTTCTCTATCTTATTCCATTTATCAATGTCTATTTGATTGTCAATGTTGCACTGTCTTGATTGCTACAATTACATAGTAAATTTAATACCAGGTAGAATAATTCCTCCCATTCTATTCTTAGTCCAGATTTTTTTCTTCTTCCTCTCCCCCCTCCCTCTCCCTCTCCCTCTCCCCCTCCCCCTCCCCTTCCTCCTCCTCCCCCTCCCCCTCCTCCTTCTCCTTCTCTTTCTTTGCTATTCTAGGGCCTGGTACTTTCCAGATACATTTTGGGATACAGTTTTCTATGTCTATAAAAACCCTTGCTGGGATTTTAATAGAAACTGAATTATATCTGTAGATCAATTTGGGAAGAACTGACAACTTCTCTATGTTGAGTCACTCAACTCATGGACACAGTATGTTTCCCCATTTATTTAGGTTTTTAAAAAATTCCTTTCATCAGCATTGCAAAGTTTTCAGCATACAGATTCTGTACACAATTTGTTAGATGTATCCCTAAGTATTTCATGTTATTTGAAATAACTGTAAATGGTTGATTTGGTTTCTACACGTTCATTGTCAGTATACAGAATTAAAGTTGATTTTTATACATTGATCTGAATTTGAGAACTCCCTCATGCTTACTAATTCTAGGATTTTTTTTTTATTTTCCTACATCTATGTAGACAATAATGCTATCTACCTAGAAGCAGGTCCAGTTTTAGTTCTTCCTTTTTGATCTGCAGGTGTTATTTATTTTCCTTGCATATTGCAGTGGCTAAAACTTCCAGTAATATGATGAATAAAGTAATAACAGTGGACATTGTTGCTTTGCTCCCAATCTTAAAGGAAAAGCAAGCATTCCTTTAACACTAAGTATATTAGCTGGGTTTTTTTGTAGATGCTCTTTATTAAGCCAAGGAAGTTCCTTTCTACTCTTCTTCTTCTTTTTTTTTTTTAATCATGGATCTTTGCAAATACTTTGTGTGTCAATTGTTAAGATCATACAAATTTTTAAATTAACCTATGATAGATCACATTGATTGATTTCAAATGCTGAACAAGCTTTACATACCTGGAATAAACTCCACTCGGTTATGGTGTACAATTCGTTGTATACATTGCTGAATTCAATTTCCTAATGTTTTGTTGAGAATATTTGCTTCTAAACTCATGAGTGATATAAATAATTGTATTGTGTTTTCTAGATTTGTTATAAGGGTAATACTAACCTCAAAAAATTAGTAGGGAAGTGTTTTTGCTTCTTCTATTTCTGTAGGAGAATGTGTAAAATTAGTGTTAATTCTTTAAATTTATGATAGAAATCCTCAATGCAACCATCTGGACCTGGAGAGCTCCTTCTGTAGAAACTTTTATTTACAAATTCAATTTCTTTGAAGAGTACAGAACTGTCCAGATTGTCTGTTTTATCTTGATTGAGGTTTTGGTAGTTTTTGATTTTTAAGAACTTGTTTAAGTTGTTGACTATATTAGTGTAAAGCTATTTATTGTATCCTTTATTTTTCTTCTAAATGGCCAAAGCGTTCAGAGTGATTTCCTCTTTTTCATTCCTAATTTTTATGTGTCTTTTTTTGTCAATGTTGCTAGAGATTTATGCATTTTATTGATTTTCTTTCAAACAGACAGTGTTTTGCCTCATTCGCTTTTTTTCTATTTTTTTAAAATAAATGGTCCAGCCGTTTGCTGCTTGCAGAATCTTATTAAGAAGAATGAGGTCTGGTAGAAAGAAAGCGACTTCATTAACCAAAACTAGCAATAGTGAAGTGGCTGTATTCCCATGCAAAGCAATCACATTGAATTTGTAGGGTGAAGGCAAGGGTTTATAAACAGAAACTTGGTATGGGACACATGCAGTTGTGCTGAGTGCAAGACATATGTGTCGTTATTCCCTGACTATCTTGGGTCTCCATACACCTGGAGTGTGGGCTGGCATCATCTGAACAATGGCCAGGTTGTTAACTAGCTGCCTTGAGGTTATCTCTGGAATTCTGCTTAGTTTCCAGGCTCAGTCTGTCTGTCTGAAGATTAGCCTTGAAGTTCTAAGTAAGCACATACTTAGATACTGGCATAGTTAGGTAAATGTGAAGGGAGTATACCGTGAACTGAAGAGACATGCAGTCTATTTTAAGGTTAAGGGAAAAGGCTTTTGCAGTTTGATTCAAGGTTACATCTTGAGACTAAAGATAAAGAGGAAAAAATGTTTTAAAATCACTATGGAGTTAAGCTGCTTGGTTATCTTTTCATTTTAAAAAATAATTTCTGTTTTAATCTTTATGATTTCCTTCCTTTGCTCTTTTTACTTCTAGTTACTTGAAATAGTTACTTAGGTTACTGACTTGAGAAAAATTCTGTTTTTAGTGCTATAAATTTCCTCACAGCACTAGTTCCCCCCCACCACATATTTTGAGACATTATATTTCATTTTCTTCCCATTCTGTGCATTTTAAAAATTTCCTTTGAGACTTCCTCTTTGATATATAAATTATTTAGAAGTCTTTTAATTTTCAAGTATTTTGGACATTTTCTGTTGCTTTTATGTTATTAATTTCTAATTTGATTTCATTATGGTTAGAGAATTCACTCTGTATGGTTTCAATTATTTTAAACTGCTTGAGGTTTGTTTAATCACTGAGGATATGGCTTGGTGAATGTTCCATGGCACTTGGAAAATGTGTACTCTGTTGCTGTTAGTGTGAGTGTTCTCTCAGTAGCAAGAAGGCCTTGCTCGGTCTTCTGTATTCTTGCTGATTGTCTAGTAGTTCTAGCAGCTGTGAGAGTCAGATGCTAAAGTTCCCACGTATAACTGTGGAATTGTTTCTCTCTTCTATCAACTCTGTTTTTGCTTCATATATTTTAGGGTTCTGTTGTCTGCAGCATGCACGTTTAGGATCACAATGCTTTTTCCTCATGGATTGATTCTTTTACATTATTTAATGTTGCCTTTGACTTACAGTTTTCTTTCCTCTGAAGTCTATTTGATATTAAAATAGCCATTCCTATTTTAATCAATGTCTGCACAATACATCTTTTTCCTTCCTTCTACTTTCATCTTACCTGTGGTGTTGAATTCAAAGTGAGTTTCTTATGGATAGCATATTGTTGGAGTCTGTGTTTTTATCTACTCTGCCAGTCTCCATCTTTTAATTGTCATATTTAGACTGTTTACATTTAAGTAATATGTTAGAACATACATCTGACATTTTATTGTTTGCTTTCTGTTTTCTCGATTTTTTATTCTGTTTCTCTTTCCTTACCTAGTTGTGGGTAATTTACATGATTTTTAAGGATTCCATCTTATTTGTAGTGTTGATTGCATAGTTTTCTTAGTTGTTGCTTTAGGTTTTACAATACATGTATGCAACCTTTCATAGTCTATTGGTATCAATGTCTGCCACTTTGAGTGAAGTTTAGAAACCTTACTGCCATTCAGGTCTTTTTATTCTTCCCACTTTTTTACAGTGATCTTAACTGTCTTCACTACATAGAGAACCATACCAGGTAGTCATATAATTTTTGTTTTAACCATCAGCTCCCGTGAAAGGGGCTCCGGCTACAGCCACGGCAATGGTCCCCAGTCAAGTGGGGCATTTCCAGCCAGCTCTGCCCCGGGATACAGCCCGGTCAGGAGAGGGGAGCCACACTGCTTATTTTACCCAGAAAACGTCATGTGAAGAATGCAGCCGAGAGGGTAAAGACAGGACTTTGAGTCGCCACGAGGTACTCACTGTGGGCTGCGGCCACACGTCTAGCGCAGAGGGCATGAAGGGCAGGGCTTGGAGCTCTTAGGCCTCAGAAAACCGCGGAGAGGACGGTGCCCCACCTCCTGCCTGAACTGGGAGGTGCTGACTACTGTGCGGGGCACCAGAGAGGCCAACGTCACAAAAAGGTCGCTTCCGTCACGCTGACGTCACAAAGAGGTCGCTTCCGCACTTGCAGGTCTCAGCAGCGCGGGCTAGGGATGCGAAGGCGCCGGGAAGCTCACGGGGCGGAGACCGGAGCAAGCCCGCCCTCCTCCAGACCCGGGGTCTCCCTTTCGCGCCCCCTATCTGCAGGGCCAGCGAAACCGCAGAGGCGCGGCTCACAGGGGCCAGCCCCAGCCGCAGGCACCGAGCAGAGCGCACGCCGGCCTGTGTGGAGCCCAGGGAAGAACAGAGTAACCGGTATAGAGGAGGCTTTGCGTTTTCAGGAATGCACTGTCCCCTTTCCAGGAGCCCTGCAAGTGAGCAGGAGTGGCAGAAAGTAGCCTGTGCAGAGGCAGAGGAGTGGGAGTCAGCAACAGACTGCCCCTCTATATTCCCTGGCCGGAGTTTCATCCATCCCTGCGGAAGGAAGACACCCAGCTGCAATCACGCACCTCCACCTGTCCAGATCTCAGCTCGTGGCGTCTCCCCTGAGGCTGGAACAGCCTCGGAAGAGGGCCTGCACACTTCCATGGGGGAACTGTGGAGGAAAACACAGGCCTGACTTGCCAGTGAGGGAGCAGAGGGGCAGGGGAGTCCCAGAAAGCACTCTGGTTAGTCAGTGCTTGAAGGTAAATCCCCGCCATGGAAGAGTAAACATTCATAAAGTGGAAAGAAACATCTGTAGCCAGGGATGGATGTAAGAATAGCACAGACAGCCCAGGGAACAAAGTGAGACCCCATCTCTACAAATAATACAAACATTAGCCAGTGTGGCACAGGCCTGTGGTCCCAGCTACTCGGGAGCCTGAGGTGGGAGGATCCCTTGAGCCTGGGAGGTGCAGGCTGCAGTGAGCTATGGTCAGGCTACCTCACTCCAGCCTGGGCAACAGTGCGACACTGTGTCATTAAAGCGACTTGAGGAAGAGCAAAGGATCTATTCAGGGCCATCAATGTCTATCTTAAAAAACGATTGTGAGGATGGAGTCTGAGAATTTAAATTAAAAATGAGAAAAGAAGTGGACAAGCACTCAATAAACAAACAGAAACTTTATGTATGTACTCTAAGAGAGGGGCAGGGAGTCCATTTGAGCCCAGGCAAGTGGGCTCAAATATTTTCAATATTCTAGAATGTTTGTTTGCTTGAATAAAAATGAGAAGGGGTAATTAATTCTAGGATGACTGTAATAGTCTGAGTGTAATTTTTAAGTGTAATTTTTTAATCTCTTCAGGTACTCCATACAAACAGGTAGAGCAAAATGGACAACATCTGTAATAAAACTAGGTAATATGTTTTATTCACAAGTCTCAAGATAAATGCCACTGGGGACAAATCCCCTATAGCTAGGTCCATGTGGCACCAGCAACACAATATTTTATGGATCTGAGAACAGAAGACTCAAAGCACTTCTAGGTAAGTACTGGACAATAGTGGGCTTATTTGTAAACAACAGATAAAATAGGAAAAACATTTTTTATTTTTATTCACAGGTGATTGCAAAGAGTTTAAAGAAGTGTTCACTCTTGGTGTGATATATTCCATGGGTTTTGACAAAGGTAGAATGACATCTATACACCCTTACAATATTGTACAGAACAGTTTCATTGCCCTAAAGATCCTCTATGCATTGTCTGTTTATACCTCTCTCCCAGCTGCCTATGCAATCACTAATCTTTTTACTATCTCTATGGTTTTGCTTTTCCCCATATGTCTTATAGTTGGAGTCACACAGTATGTAGACTTTTCAGATTAGCTTCTTTCATGTCCTGTTCTTGTTGCTTCACATCCTTGCCAGCATTTGATGTTGTTTAGATTTTGGCCATTCTATTAGATGTATAGTGGTATCTTCTTATTGTTTTAATTTGCAATTCAGTAATGATGTATGATGTTGTGCATCTTTTCATATGCTTAGTTGCCACATACATGGCTTTTTTGGCTAGGTGTCTGTTCAGGGCTTTTACCCATTTTCAGTTAGATGGCTTGTTTTCTCATTGTTGAATTTTAAGAGCTATTTGTATGTTTTTGACAGCAGTCTTTTATCAGACATGTCTTTTATAAATATTTTCTGCTAGTCTGTGGCTTGTCTTCTCATTCTTTTGACAGTCTTTTGCAGAGCAGAAGTTTTAAATTTTGGTGGTGTATCTAAAAAGGCATTGTCTTTTGTCATCTTCTAGGAGTTGCATAGTCTTACATTTTATGTTTAGGTCTGTGATCCAATTTGAGTTAATTTTTTGTGAAGGGTATAAGATCTTATCTAAGTTCATTTTTTTTACATGTGTCCATCCAGTTGTTCTAGCACTACTTGTTGAAGACACTTACTTTTGTGCTTTTGTGTTTTCTTTACTCATTTGTCAAATATCTGCTGTATCTATTTGAGTCTTTTTCTGGGCTGTCTATTCTGTTCCATTGATCTATTTGTCAATTCTTTTGCCAATACCTTGCTTTCTTGATTACTGTAGTTTTATAGTAAGTCTTGAAGCTGGGTAGTGTCAGACCTTCAACTTTGTTCTTCTCATTTAATATTAAATTGGCTATTTTGGGTCTTTTGTCTCTCCATTATAAACTTTAGAATCAATTTGTTAATACCCATAAAATAATGTGCTAGGATTTTATGGGAATTGTGTTGAATCTATAGAATCAGTAGGAAAAACTGCCATTTTGACAATATTGAGTCTTCCTATCCATTAGCATGGAGTATCTTTCCATTTATTTAGTTATTTGGTGTCTTTTTCTACAGTTTTATAGTTTTCTTTATATAGATCATATGTGTATGTTGTTGAATTTATATCTATTTTATTTTTGGAGTGCCAATGTCAATGGTAATGTGTTTTTAATTTCAAATTCTACTTTTTCATTGCTAGTGTATAGGAAAGTGATTGATTTTTGTATGTCAACCTTTTTTTTTTTTGTATAATGCAACCTTGTTATAATCACTTATTAGTTCCCAGAAATTTTTTTTGTTGATTTGTTTTGTTTTTCTACATAAACAATCATGTTATCTGGAAGCAAAGACAGTTTTATGTATTTCTTCCAAATAAGTATATGTTTTATCTCCTTTTCTTGTCTTATTGAATTACTAGTACTCCCAATACAATGTTGAAGATCAGTGGGGAAAGGGGACATCCTTGCCTTGTTCTTGATCTTATTAAGAAAGCTTCAAGTTTCTTACTTAAGTGTGATTTTAGTTGTGGATTTTTTTCATACATGTTCTTCATGAAGTTGAGGAAATTTTTTTCTATCCCTAGTTGACTGAGAGGTTTTATCATGAATGGGTGTTGGGTCTTGTTAAATGCTTTAACTGTATGAATTAATATGAATGTGTGATTTTTTTCATAGCCTGTTAATGTGGTGGATTACATTGATTTTCTAATATTGAATCAGGTTTGTATACCTGTGATAAGTCCCATTTGGTTATGGTGTATAAGTTTGTTTATACATTGTTGGATTTCATTTGCTAATGTTTTGTAGAGAATTTTTGCATCAATATTCATGAGAAATGCTGTTCTGTAGTTTTATTTTCTTGTTATATTCTTGTCTGGCTTTGATATTACTGGCCTGATAGAATGAGTTAGGAATTATTTCTTCTGCTTCTATCTTTGGAAATGTTTGCAAGTGAATCCATAGAGGCCCGGTGCTTTCTTTGGAAAGTTATTATTGATTAAATTTATTTAATAGGTATAGGCCTATTCAGATCATGTATTTGCAGATGCACTTTAATTCTAGATGTAATAGATAATTATTAAGAAAAATAGAATTTGCCAAAATTTACCATAGTCAAAGTCTGACAGACCAATTATAATAGAAGAAATAAAGAACGTAGTTGAAGAGTTCCTTCATAATGAAGGCATCAATCCCAGATGGAGTGACAGGAATTCTACCAATCAGGTAAATTCTAAAAGTACTTATAAAGTTTCTGAGCATGGAGAAAGAAAAGAACCTTATAAATTGGTTTATGAAGCAAGTATTACATCAAAACTAAAGCTGACAAATAATTGTAGTAAATATATATTATTATATTAATTGAAATATATTATTTCAAATAAATTATAATATTAGCAAGCAAAATTTAATAACACTTTAAAAATAATGCATTATCATCAAGCTGAATTTATTCCAGGAATATAAAGGTTATTCAATATTAGGTAATTCATTAATACAATCCATCATATTTATAGAGATAAGAAAAACATGTGAATCTCCATAGATGCATAAAAGTATTTGAAAAAATCCTTAAAAACAGAAGTGAAATTTAAATATATAGGTATGTTCTTAACGTGAATATATACACGAGCATGCATCTGTGCATGTGCCAGCCCAAAAGTTGATTTGCTTAATGGGAAAACTAGAGACTGTGTCACTAATGCGGGATGCCCACCACCTGCAGTACTGTTGAATATTGTATTACAGATATTAATCAAAGCTAGTAGATAAGAGAAAAAAACTAGAGGCACAATAATGCAAAGCAAGAAGTAATGCCATTTTTCTTTGCAAATAACATGATCATATATCTACAAGTCCTTCCTCAACCAAATCAGTGGAAAAACTGCAAATAACATGACAATTGAGTAAAATGTATCTTAAGTCAAACAACTCAGAAACAGGAAAACAAATACTGCATGTTTTTATTTATAAGTGAAATTTAAATAATGTATACACATATACAGAGTATGGACTGATAGACATTGGAGACTCAGAAGGGTGGAGCAGTGGAAGAGGGATGGGGATAAAAGAATTACTTAATGGGTGTAAGGTGCATTATTTGGATAATGGATACACTAAAAACTCAGATTTTGCTACCATGCAATTAATACAGTTTGGATGTTTGTACTCTCCAAATCTTGTGTTGGAATATAATCCCCACTGTTGGAGGTGGGGCCTGATGGGGAGGTGTTTGGGTCATAAGGGTGGATTTGTCATGAATGGCTTAGCACCATCCCCTTGATGATGAGTGAGTTCTTGCTCTGGTAGTTTATGCAAGATCTGGTTCTTTAAAAGAGTGCGGCACCTCCCCTGTCTCTCTCTCTCTTTTTCTTTTTTTGAGAGAAAGTCTCACTCTGTCACCCAAGCTGGAGTGCAGTAGTGTGATCTCAGCTCAGTGCAACCTCCGTCTCCTAGGTTCAAGCAATTCTCCTGCCTCAGCCTCCTGAGCAGCTGGGACTATGGGTGCATGCCACCACATCCAGCTAATTTTTGTATTTTTAGTAGAGACTGAGTTTTGCCATGCTGGCCAGGCTGGTCTCAAACTCCTGACCTCAGGTGATCCACCTGCCTTGGTATCCCAAAGTGCTGGGATTACAGGTGTGAGCCACTGTGCCCAGCCTCTCCTCTGTCTCTTTCATGCTTCTGCTCTCAGCATGTGATGCAACTGCACTCACTTTGCAATGATTGGAAGCTTCCTGAAGCCCTCATCAGCAGCAGATATCAGCACCATTTTTCCTGCAGAATTATGGGCTAGTTGGACCTCTTTACAAATTAGTTAGCCTCAGGTTTTTCTTCATAGCAATGAAAGCATAGCCTAATATAAAAAATCAGCACAAAAAATGGGGCATTGCTATAAAGATACTTGAAAATGTGGAATCAGCTTTGGAACTGCATAGCAGGAGGACGTTGGAAGAATTTGGAAGGCTTAGATGAAGACAGGAAGATGAGGAAAGTCTGGAACATCTTAGAGACTGGTTAAATAGTTGTAAGCAAAATGCTGATAGAAATATGGACAGTGAAGGCCAGGCTGATGAAGTCTCAGATAGAAATGAGGAAGTTATTGGGAACTGGCATAAAAGTCACCCATGTTACAACCTGGCAGAAAATTTGACTGTGTTGTGTTCATGTTCTAGATCTGTGGAAATTTGAACTTAAGAGTGATGACTTAGGGTATCTGGTGGAAGAAATTTATAAGAAGTAAAACATTCAGAATGTAGCCTGGCTGCTTCTAATAGCTTATGATTGGGTACAAGAGCAAAGAAATGACTTAACATTGGAACTTGCTGTTAAAAGGAAAAGCAGAGCATAAAAGTTTGGAAGATTTGGAGCCTAGCCATGTGTCAGAGAAAGAGAAAGCATTTTCAAGAAAGAAATTCGGGCAGGCTGTGGAACAGTCACTTGCTAGGGAGTAGCCTAACTAAAAGGAAGGCTAGTATTCAAGACAATGAAAAAAAGGCTTCAAAGGCATTTTGGAAGTCTCTGGAACAGCTCCTTCCATCCCTGCCTCAGACGCCTAAAAGGAAAGAATGGTTTTGAGAGCCAGGCTCGGGCCCAGTCTTGAGACATTGTTCCTTGCATTCCAGCAGCTCTGCCTCCAGCCTTGGCTGAAAAGGCCCCAGACACAGCTCAGGATACTCTGGAGGTCACAAGCCATAACCTTGGTGGCTTCCATATGGTATTAAGTCTGCAGATGTGAGGAATGCAAGAGTGAAGTATGCCTGGCAGCTTGCCCCTAGAATTCAGAGGATGTATAGAAAAGTCTGGGTGCCCAGGCAGAAGCCTGCTACAGGGTCAGGGTCCCTACAGAAAGCCCCTATTAGGGCAGTGCCAAGGGGAAATATGGGGCTGGAGCCCTCACACAGAGTCTCCACCAGGGCACTGCCTAGTGGATCTGTGGGAAGGGGCTTCTGCCTTCCATACCCTAGAATGGTGATTCACTGGCAGCTTGCCCCCTACATCTAGAAAAGCTGCAGGCACTTAATTCCAACTTGTGAGAACAGCTGTACCCTGCAAAGCCATGTTGAGAGGTGCTGCCTAAGGCCTTGGGAGCCCATCCGTTGCACCAGTGTGTCCTGGATACAAGACAGGGAGTCAAAGGAGATTATTTTGGAACTTTGAGATATAATGACTGTCAGACTTGTGTGGGGTCTATAGCCCCTTTGTTTTGGGTAGTTTCTACCTTTTGGAATGGGAATGTCTACTCAATGCCTGTGCCACCATTGTATCCTGGAAGTAAATAACATGTTTTGATTTTACAGGGTCATAGGTGGCAGGAACTCATGCTCAGGTACTTTGGATTTGGGATTTGGGAACTGGGATTTTTGAGTTAATGTTTTTGATGACTGTTGTGAAGGATTGATTATGTTTTGCAATGTCAGAAGGATGTGAAATTTGGGGGACCTGGGGCTGAATGATAGTTTGTACATTTGTTATCTTCAAACTCACGTTGACATGTAGTCCCCAGTGTTGGAAGTGGGGCCTGGTAGGAGGTGTTTGAGTTATGGGACGGATCCCTCTTGAATGGCTTAGCACTCTCCTCTTGGTAATGAGAGAGTTCTAACACTGGTAATTCATATGAAATCTGGTTGTGTAAAAGAGCATGGCGCCTCCTCCCCCTCTCTCTTGCTCCTACTTTTGCCCTGTGATGCACCTGCTCCTTTTCCTTCTGTCATAATTGGAAGCCTATTGAGGCTCTCAGCAGCAGCAGATACCAGACCCATGCTTCTTGTACAGCTGGCAGAACTGTGAGCCACTTAAACTTCGTTTCTTTATAAATTACCCAGCCTCAGGTATTTCTTTATAGCAATGCAACAATATCCTAATACAGTAATATATTCATATAACAAAACTGCACTTGTACTTCTTAAGTTTATACAAAGAAAATATCAGTTTATAAAATGAGTGTATACCCACATGTATACAAATGTGTGTGTGTATATATATATATATGTGCATGCTTCTACACACACACATATTGTTTATATATTAACATTAATATTAATTCATATAAATATATATTCTAATATCTATTAATATACATATATGAATAAATATATATATGCTGTACTTGATCTTAGCCTAAAGGCTGATAAACAATTATATATATATATTCTGATACACACATATATGTGAAGATATAATGGAAGAGAAGAACCCATTTACAAAAATAGACATAACAAAAATACAAAGACATAAATGTAGCAAGAAAAGATCAAAATTCATATGGGGAAAAACTATACATACTTTTAAAGGACATGAAAATAGATTTGAAGACATGGAAAGGCATCATATTCTTGAATAGATAAGCTAACATTATCCTAACTTTTAAAATCCCAACACAATAATAGCCATGATTTTTTTTCTAGATCAAGACAATTTGCCTATAAAGATTGTTTGGAGGAGCAAGGATGTGGGGTTCTAAGAGACATTCAATATGCAATAAAGCCTGTAAGTAAAGCAGTGTGATATTGGTCTATGAAGAGCAGACACATTGATAGAACAGAATATCCAGAAATAGATACAATTACATTTAAAAGTTTACTATAATAGGAAGGCGAGATTTCAAATCAACAGGGGAAAAGAAAAACTAAAAAGGAAAATTGAATAACCGAGTGACCCAATGGGAAAAAATGATATTGGATTGGTTTTCACATATCAGATCAATTACAAAAAGATGAGAGATTTTAATGTAAAAAAATGGAATCACATATACAGTAAAAGAAAACACATGAAATCCCTATATAATTTGGAACCAATTTGAAATTCAGAAACAATAAGAATAAAATTTGATATGTTTTAATAAATACTTTAAAAAGTACTTTTCAGGGCAACACCATAAATTAATGACAAATGACAAACCAGGAAAATATATTTGCAACTTATATTACAAAGAAAGGGTTTATATTCTGAATATCCAAAGAGCTTCTAATACTACAGAAGAAAATAACTTAGAGCTTTATGGAAATATAAGAGTAATGTTTCATTCACAGAAAAAATAAGTGCAAATGATTCTAAACCACATGAAAAGATGCTCATAGCTGCTGACATAAAAGAAATCCATATGAAAGTTACATTAAGATTCCAGTTTTAACATACCAGATTGGCAAAGTCCTAATTATAACAGTATACTCTTTTGGCCAGGCTATGAGGAGACAGACACTCCTGTGTATTGTTAGTAGCAATAATCGATGTGTACCACCACAAATCAGTGAGGAAAAGATAAAATAGAATCCATTTTTCAGATCAGATTTCCCGAGTGGAATTCAGCAATGCCTAAAAAAATTGTACATGCCTTTATCCTTCTCTGCAACAATTGGATTATATGAATGTATCCCACACTTACACTGGTTCTAAAAGACACAGATGGCTGGGCATGGTGGCTCATGCCAGTAATTTCAGCACTTTGGGAGGCCAAGGCAGGTGGTCCACTTGAGCTCAGGAATTTGAGATCAGCCTGGACAACATGGTGAAACCCCATATCTACAAAAAACACAAAAATTAGCCAGGTGTGGTGGTGCATGCCTGTGGTCCCAGCTACTTGGGAGGTAGAGGTGGGAGGATGGTTTGAGCCCAGGAGGTGGAGGTTGCAGTGAGCCAAGATCATGTGACTGCGTACCAGCTTGGGTGACAGAGCCAGACCCTGTCTCAGAAGAAAACAAAGACATAGACAAAAGGCTATTTATGCAGGACACTGTAATAGCAAAAACTAGCAACTACCTAAACATCTATACAAAAGGTTGACTATACTGTAGTATATCTCCACACTGGCATATGATGTAGCTGCAAAAAAGTAATGAGAGATATCTCTATTGACCTCTACTTGGTTATGTCTGATATGTGTATGAAATAACAATAAAGCAAGCTGGAGAAAAGCTGGTATACTGTGCTGCCATTTAGCTGAGAAGGGGAGATATGGTTCTATACACCTCTCTATCTGTATTACACAAACAACAAGTGATGGGAGGTTAGCTTATCTATGGAAGGCTTAGAAATAGAGAGGACAAGGGTAAAAGCTATACTTTTTTAAGAACTTGATTTTGTAGATTTTATTTTAGCACCACAAACATATTTTACACAATTATAAAGTAAATTTAAATTAAAATGGTCTTTAAAACTCAAAAATTAAATGAATCAAAGAGGCTTTTAAATATGTATCCATTTGGTTGCATAACCACACATAAATATTCCAAGTTACTTAAAAACACAGTAATTTGTATATCCATAATGGAATATATTCTTAGATAAAGTCTATTTGCAAAACAAAAAGTAAAACTTAAATTCTTTACAGTAATCATATTGTTGGAGGAGTGCTGGCATTGCTATTCTAAACTGTTGTGGTTATACTGTGGCTACAAAAACAGAGTCTGAGAATAATTATGTGATTCTCCAATTCTATCAGTTTGTGTATTATTGAGAGCTGGGATTCACTGTATGAGAAAAAAAGATACAGATGTAAGACTGAAAAGGATAAATAAAAGCCTTATAATTATGAATTTGAATTAGTATTAGTATAAACTCATGATATGTTATAGTTCTTCTAAAAACACAGAAATACACATATTTCCTAGTTTTGTGAACTAAAGTGTCCTCGGAAAATAATGATGAACTCAAAAGTGAGGAGGAGCTCTAGAGCTGAGATTGTGATCCTGAAATACTGTATCTTATTAAGAGAAACCAGATCCCCTGGGAGAAATGACTGATTCCAGGCTTGAGGGAAGGAATATGAAAAATAAGCATGAAATGTCTTGTTATGGCAGATAGCACAGATGCTAACCAGTACTACCAAAGTCATGGCAAAAAACCCAGCAGCCATCTTGAATGGGTCCTGTTAGCCAGAAGGGAGATATTGGCTACAATGGATTAAACACATCAAATGGGCTTAAACCCATTTACAATCTCATTGAAAAAACACACATATGTTTAATCTTGGAGAAGGCAAGTGAATCAACTTGTTGGGAGAAAATGAGTAAAGAAAGGGAACCCAGCATTTCTGCTGACTTTCTCATGTGATGTGTGCCATTTGATAAGCAACATTTCTCTTTATAAAACATTTTGGCTTATAAATGAAGAATCCATATGACATCAGAATACTACCATTGTGTAGCTCCTAATAAATTCATGGGTCTAAGTGCTGATCATCAATGGCTGCTGTCATCACAAAAAGAGAGACAAACACATTCTGAATATCCTAATGGAAGAACACACGTTCCTGCTCGAGCAGTCTTGCAGAGGAGAAGGAGGAGGGGAAAAAAGAACACTAATTTAGTCAGAACTTCAGATTCGGATACAAATATATGAAAAATACAGAGGACAAAAAGCACATAAAACAACACCCTGGGGATACAATCAGGTAACTCCAAATTGTGAAATATCTGTAGGACAAACAACCTATTTCTTTGATGAATAAGTTGCATGGAACAAGAAGAGATGGAGGCAAAATACCTATAGGCAAAAGAGATTTAAGAAATATATCATCCAATCACAATACGTGGACTTGATTTGTATAGTGATATAAACAAATCACTGAGAAAATAAAATTTATGAACAATTAGAGGTAGGAACACTGGCTGGCAATATGATGATATAAAAAATTACTGTTAATTTTTTAGGCACAGTAAGTTAAAACAATCCTAATATTCCAAAGACATATATTGAAACATTTGTGAATAAAATGATACCATGCCCTGGATTTTCTTCAAAATAATTTGGGGAAAATGGAGAAATGGGTTGGGTAATTGCTGACCCCCAGAGGTGGGGACAAGAGGGACATTATGATATTCTTTTTGTATTCCTATATGTTTGAAATTTTTTCAAAATTAAAAATGTAGAAAAATATTTTATGAGGGGTTAAGGAATTGCTCACTCATGCCCTTGTAGGCATCTGGCCTTCAGAATGACATAGTGTTTTCTGGAACACCTCCTGATCTCATTGTTTTGTATTTTTAAGATAAAATTAGAAGGAAATTGAAATTGTATTTATAATGGCTTTCTTTGCAAGTGTCCTTCCACCTGAGTTGGCTTTTCATGACTCTGAAATTGCTCTCTGGGTTTAGGTAGAGACATCTGGCCATTTCGGATGAGTACACCTATTGGCAGGTGGACAGCTTACTCCATATGGGCCATACCATTACCATAAATCCATATGCATAAATATGCATGAAATAGGTGCCATATGTTGGTTCACTGCTTAACATTCACAGAGCAGACTTCCCCTGCTCACCCTTCTTACTCTCCTTTAATCTTTCCCTTTTGTCTGATCACTGGAGCTCCTAATTTCATCCCATCCTATTTTACTCTGTTTTAGTTTTTTTTTTTTGCTTCTTTGGGGGAACACAAGAGCCCCTGAAAACTAGAAGAAGGAGTGCTGTCAGTCAAGGCATGTGGGTAGCAGGAGGGCCACGGCAAAAAACCCAGGAGCCATCTTGAATAGGTCCCGTTAGCAAGAGGGGAGATATTGGCTATAACGGATTAAACACATCAAATGGGATTAAAGCCATGCATTTAAAATCTCATTGAAAAAACATGCATTTGTTTAATATTGGAGAAGGCAAGTGAATCAGCTTGTTGGTAGAAAATGAGTAAAGAAAGGGAACCCAGCATTTCCTCTGACTTTCTCATGTGATGTGTGCCACTTGATAAGCAACATTTCTCTTTATAAAACATTTTGGCTTATAAATGCAGAAGCCATATAACATCAGAATGCTACCATTGTGTAACTCCTGATGAATTCGTGGGTCTAAGTGCAGCGTCAAGTGAATACCTCCTTGGTGTTTCCTTTCCCCATTTGTTATTTACATTAGCCTTCGTTGTGGACATGGCCCTTCAAAGTCATTTTAGGTTTGCTTCTGCTGAGCATCTGAGAGTCTTCTTGAGTCAGGAGCCAGTTTGCTCATTAATTTCTTAGCTTAGAATCACGCATCATATGCTAGGGAATCAGCTTGGAATCTTACACATGAGTCAGTAGCATATGGCACAGTCCATTGTTCAATTTTTTTTTCCCATAGGAATCTTTTTCTACCAGAGCAGTTATGTATTTTTCTTCCCCTTTCCTGGTCCTAGTGATTGTAGTTCTGATTTCCTCTTGGGGGCCAGACAACTGGAGTTTTAATCCCAATTTTTCTGTAACCTCAAGAAGTCATCTGCTCTGTACTCAGATTTCCCATATGTAAAATAATGAAAATAATGTGACCCCTCTCGTAGGTTTATAGCAGAGACTGCTGGTTGTTCACTAAACCTGTTTCTTCTTCTTCTTCTAGGGCACACAGCTAGCATACACTTCCCAGCTTCCTTTGATGTCTGTTGTAGCCACATGACTGAGCTTAGCCAATGGAGTACGGGTGTAAGTGATGTGAACCACACCAGCCTGGCCCCTAAAAACCTTACTCAGGTATTTTCTACCTCCTTTCTCCATCCTGATGGCTAAAACAGAGTCTAATTTTACAAAGTAATCTTGGAAAACAAGTTTGAGGACAGCAGAGCTTCCATCAGAGTCCCTGGATGACTGCAAGAAGGACCACCCTGTTTACCTAGATACCTGTCCAATCCAATGCTGTCACGGGAGACAGAAACCAGCTTCTGCAATGGTGGAACCTTTATGCATAATGTATATAATATATATAACACAATATATGATATAATACAATATATACAAAAATTTGGCCTCTTTGAAATAGGGCCAGCCTGCCTATACATGTATCATTATTATAAGAGTTAAATGAGTTAATACATGTGAAATACTTAGTACAATGACTGGAACATAATAAAGGGTTAATAATCATTATGGATAATGCACTAGTACCAGTTGTATGCAGAGTTCTTAGTGTTAGCTCCTGCCTAGCACCGGCCCAAGGCTGCCTCTTCTATTCTCTTTTGGTTGGTCAAATCCTGGCCCTTGCCCTTAGTGCCTGTACTCACTTATAGTTGTCTGGGTCTCAGAGGCATTAGTTCACCTGCTTAGACTGGTAGTTATGTAGCCCTCCCTGCTTAATGCTGCCTGAGGATTTCTATTTCTTTCAATTTATACTATTTCTAAAGTATATTTTATCCAGCAGTTCTGCTTATAGAAGATAGGATGCCCACATTTGCTGATTTTGCCATGCTTTAAGAAGTGACTCTGGAAGATTCTTAAACCCTACAGTAAACAAGTCTCAGGAGCTGCTGAAATGCACAGAGTATCAGGAGACCACTGGAAAAAAAAGAAATGTTTAATAGGTGTGCTGTGCACCCACTGTACTTGATTTACCTTATTCTCCTGAATTCACCTGGAAGTGATGATTCCCCTGGAAGTCATCCAATATTAAATGCACTGTTTCCCACCTTCACATTAACACAGAAAAGTCACTCACTGAAATTTCCAGCATCCTCAGAGCTTGAAGGCAAGTACAGCTGTTCTAAGTAATTTTCATCACTTCTTTTGTACTTTTCACACAAGATAATTTCAAATCACCTTAAAGTTCTTGAGGAAAGGCAGTACCCCATTGTTTTTTCCCCCTGGCAATTTTGTCAGCTTGAGCTGTCTGACACATTTTAAAATTTGGTGTCATATTCTGGGAAGTAAAAAAATCTTTCTGGTTTCCTTCTTGACAGACACAGGGCATTAGGGTGAAAAACGAATTCTTAGGTTGTCTGCCAGGGGTTTCATCAAAAGGGACTAGACTCAAGTGACATTCCCATAAACAAAATAATGAGACTGCATTTGCAGGGTTTGGTATGACTGTTTTATGAGATACTCCAGTTTATTTGAAAGTAAATGGGGTTTCAGATCACTCTGAACTGGGCTTAAGCCCCAGCTTTGCAATTTATTACCCATGTTTTTATCCTTAAAAATGGGAATACAGTTGACTTCAAAGGGTGAGAATTAAATGAGAACACATCTAAGAAAATACCCAGCATGAGACCAACCATAATGAAAGTGTCATGTTGAAAGAGAAAGTGGGATTACACGTCCAGCTGTAATCAAGTAGCATAGATTGGAGTAACTCTTTCACTGAAGACAGCTATAAAATCTGGATTAAAAATAAAATGGAACGTGAAAGTATTGGAGTCAGAGCAAGGCAACCAGGACTTAAGGGACCGCAGTCTATGAAAGCAGGAAAGTTCATGTAAATGCCTTGCTACTCACCTCGGGGCACCTGCTGATTCACAGCATGGGAGGTAGGGCTGGGTCTGCAGCTGCCTAAGGCTTATGCAGACTCTGAGACCACACAGTGGCATGGATTAAGAAGGTAAGGTCTTGGAGAGGTAGGAAATACAGGATTGAGGCAGAAATCCTGCTTGCAACTTCCCTTTGAGGTATTGGCTACCTCCCAAACTGTGTGTTCATGAAACAAGACACTGAGAGTCCAAGATGAAAGGAGCAGTGCAGAGATGAACGCCTGAGCAGAGATTCCCACAGGCTCATGGTCCTGGGAACAGGGAATGTGGAGGGGCCTGGTGAACACAGAAGACTCCCATTGGAAGCAGGGAAGACTACGCCTTAGGAGTGAGAACTATGCCATAGTAATAAGGCCAACGGGGAAGGCAACCATGCCCGAAACACAGCCTCAACATGGTCAGGATGATCTGCCAGAGACGACCTGCCATCTATCTCTCAGAAGAAAGAGACATCCTCTCTGGGGAAAGACAGGCCCTACATTTGTTTCTTATGTGATATATGGGTTTTTCATAAAAACTTACTAGGCATGTCGAAAAAAGACCAAATGACTAAGAGTCACAGAAAAAGATGGACAATGGAAACAGTCCAGGTACTCTAGTTATCAGATATTGGATTTTATGATTAATGTGGTCAAGGAAATAGAGAAAATCATGGATAATTCCACCAGAGACCTAGGCTTTATTGAAAAATGAAATGCTCATAACTGAAATTAGAATTTTTTTTTAAAAGGGCAAATCTGTTTTTAGTATATTAGCAGATTGGGCACAAGAAAATGGATGAAAATGAATTGGACTATTGACCTGGATTTTATCATGGAGGAATTTCATATTTTTTAAAGTAAGAGCTTAGGAGACATATATAACATGGTGAAATACCCAAAATACATGTTACTGGTGTTATTCCTCAAAAAAGGAAGGCAAAAACAAAGAATTTACACACAAACAAAAACCGAAAAACTGACTTTGCTGACCTTCATTAAATAAATTAGAATTTAAGTCTGAGTTTTTCACAAAGAAGGGAAATTTCTCCTGATGGAAGTCTGGTAGAGAGAAAAAAATGAGGTGCACAGGAAATGATAAATAAATGGATAACTTCAAATGAATATTGACTTTTTGAAACAAGAATTCTAATGTCTTATGGGGTTAAAGTGTATGTAGAACTACACAACAATATTAACACAACACGTGTGAGATAGGCAAATGATACCAAATTGTTTTTACATTCTTGCATTGTTCTGGAGGCATTGAAGCAGTGGTTTAAGACAGGCTGTAATAAATCAAGAACATATTACTTCATAAATGTCGACACATATACATAATGGGAAAACTTAATAAAGAGAAAAATGGAATAATATCATACTGATTAATACAGAGTTAAGAAAAGATTACAGAAACGTTATACAGAATAAAGAAAAGAATGAAACAAATAAAAAAGGGAAATTTAAATGCAAATATATTCATTAAATATAAATTTTGTATGTGTCAATGATTCAATTAAATTAATCCAATTAAAAGTCAAAGATCTTCACACATATAAACACAGATTTATAACAAAGGTGATAATACTGCACAGTGAAGAAAGATTAGCTTTTCAACATGAGCTATTGAATCAAATGGGTATTGATATGGAACAAGACTTAACCCTGAACCATACTCAGAAATGATTCCAGATGTAATGTCATCTGAATGTGAAAGGTGAAGTAAGTATATAAAAATAAATAAGTCTTTAGAAGACAATATGGAATAATAACTTTGTGATCTTGGTGTAGGCAAAAATTTCTGAAACAAGCACAGAAAGCACCAGCTACAAAGAAAAAAACCCAATAGGCTGTAATCTATTAAAGTTAAAAATAGTTTGCTCATCAAAAGGCATCATTAAGTGAATGCAGAAACACAAACTACACAGTGGGGAAGGGATCTGCAATAGATACTGCTGACAAAGAACACACATTCGGCACACGAAGCAGAACTCCTGCAAGCCAATTAGAAAACGTTAGACATCTTAACTGAAAATGAGCAAAAAGTATTTGAATAGGCGCATAGTATAACCAAATAATAAACAAGCCAAAGTAAGGTGCATCACTTCATTAGTCATTAGACGAATGTAGATTAAATCTATGAAGCCCCATTGCTCTGAATAAAGTGAAATAGACAGACAATGCCAAGTGAAGGTACGAGAACTCTGTTCTGCCACTGGTGGGATTGGTGATTGACACAGTCATTGTGGCTAATGGTTTGGTACTATCTACCAAAGATGAACATCAATGTAGCTTAACTCCCAGCAATTTTATTCTGAGATATATACAGAGACAAAATGTGTACATGTGTTTATAAATCTGTAGAAAAATTTTAATTGCAATCCTATTTGTAAAAATTCAAACTGCATGTTACGAAAAGTTGAATAGAAAGATGCATAAAGATTGCTGTATACCATATGACAGAACACTATCAGAAAGACAAAAAGCAAACTACTTATATAGCAATAATGTGAATGAATATCACGAACATATGTTGAGTGAAAGGAGAGAGTCACAGAAGACTGAATATTGCATTATTTCATTTCTATAAATTTCAAAGGCCAGCAAAACTAGTTTATGGTGTTAAAAGTAAGAATAGTGAGAGGTCCTGCAGAGAGGCAGTGTCTAGGAAGGGGCGTGAGAGATTTTGGATCACCAAAATATTCTATTTCTTGATCTGTGTGCTCATTATACAGTGATGTTCATTTAATGAAAATTTACTGAGTGGTTTAAGATACACACCCATTCCTAAACTATATTTTAGTTTTTTTTTTTTTTTTTTTTTTTTTTTGCCAATCAGTTTGAGCTTATGAGGTTGCTCAGGTTAGCCTTGAACTGATGACCTCGCCTTCGCGAGCGCCATGACCTCCGGCGGGAGCCACTTTGTACCCTATTTTAGTATTTTTTAAAAGATGAACATTGTCAGAGAAATTAAAAAATAAAACCCAATTATTGGCTGCATTCAAAGCCACACCTTAACTATAAAGACAAGGAAAGACTGAAAGTAAAAAGAAGGAAAAGCATATTCCATACAAACACCAAAACAATGATGTTATCCCTACACTAATATCAGACAAAGCAGACTCTAGAGCAAGAAGTATTAATAATGATAAAGAGGGACATTCCATAATGATAAATGCAGCAATTTAATTGGAATATGTAAACATTTTGTATCTGTATTGATCTAAGAGCACAGCCTCAAAGATACAAAGCAAAAATTTACAGCAATAAAGGGACAGGTAGGCAAATCAATAACCATCCTTGAAGATTTGGCAAACGTCTCTGCTGATTTGATGCATAAACAAAAGTGGTAAAAATGTAGAATATTTAAACAACACAATTAGTGAACTTGAAGCAGCTCAGCCGGTAGAGCATTCTACCAACAACTTCAGAGTACACATTATGGTCAAGAGATTTCATTATCCTAAATATTTACCAAAGGGACCACATGCTTTGTGATAGAGCTAAGCTTACCAGTCCCTGTGGGACTGCCAAATTCTGTAATATTTTAGGGCCTCATTCAAATTCCATTTTCTAATTACCTTTTTGATTACTGCAGCCTGCTTGGATCTCCTTGTTTCCCATAGAGAAACATGGCAGGAAAGAAAAAACCCTGACTTAGAAGTAAGGCAGCCTGGCACCCCCTCCCAACTGTAGATCCTAATTAGGATTATAGATCCTAATTCTAGAACCTATTTACTTAGCAGCTTGGCCAAGTGATTCATCTCAGCAGGGCTCAATTCACTCCTCTGTAAAAGGAGAGAAGGACACTTGATTTGGAGAGCTGGTGGGAACTTGCATGAGATACTGTAACACTTTTAATCCAGAGCAGGTGTTCAGCAGACAGCAGTACCCTCTTCTGTCCTTCTCAAGACTGTTCAGCATGATCACTAGTTTACCACGTACCTATGCCTCATTTCTTTCACATAAGTTAGTTTCACCTCCCCAACTAAACCTTAAAGGGATAGGGACCAATTCCTATTGCATTCCCTGGGTACCTAGCATAAGGCTATGAAATTGTGAAAAACCGTGTTAACCATAACATGGTCAGGGGAAAGCAGGAGGAGGAGGACGAGGAGGAGGTGAAGGAAGAGGAGGGGGAGGAGGAGGCAGAGAAGGAGGGGGAGGAGGAGGTAGAGGAGGAGGGGGAGGAGGGGGAGGAGGAGGGGGAGGAGGAGGAGGAGGAGGAGGAGGAGGGAGAGGAGGAGGGAGAGGAGGAGGAGGAGGAGGGAGAGGAGGAGGAGTGGGAGAAGAATGACAATTCACATTTATTGTGGATATACTCCACTCTGGATTCTGGGCAAATGACTTAACATGCAGTACCTCACCAACCCTTGAAACCTATAATCCCAATTGCACGAGTTAGGTCGCCACCTCCTGAGTAGTGAACTTGCCAAGGGTCACTCCAGTAGATTGATCGAACCCTTTCTCACTCAAAAGTCTTGTGCTTAACCTCTGAACTCCACTTTTGCCATCCATTATAGGTACCCAGGATGTATTTGCTGCCAAGTTTATAATTCATGTTCTAAAGGAATGAGGACCACCCACTGGCCAGGGCAAGTTGGGCAGATGGCAGAAAGAGGGAAGAGTGCAGGGTGGTCAGGAAGTGCTGCTGAGGTGTGCCATTCTGGCACCAGAACCCTCTCACCATTAGCCACATGAGGCAGGCCAAACTCTGCCTGACCTCTAACTACTGCAGAAAAATGGGTAGAGACCTTAGGTTTTTGGATTGCTAATGCTCTCTGAGTGTCTAGGACAATATCTACCCTCCAGCACTTTGCTCAGGGCAGTCATGGCACCTGATGTCTGTGTAACAGGTTTACTGGGCACTGGTTGCCAACTGTCTGAGTCCAGTGAGATAGAACATCCACATACAAGTTACATGAAGTGGGTTCATCACTCACCCATAGGCAGCAATGTGTAACAGAAGCCTAGCATTTATGACAAGGGCCCCCAAGGCTCAAGAAAGCTGCTCAGATGGAGTCTTCCTACTTGTGCCCCCCCACACCACAGCTAAGGGACCCTGGAAAGCAGCCCATACTGGGTTTTATACCCTAAGGAAATGGGACTCACTGGGCTGAAGCATAGCAGGACATTCTATTCTAGGAGAAATAGGGACAGAGCTTGTACTGTTCCAGCCAGTCTCTCCTCATCTCAGGACGTTGCGTTATCAGCACATTCTACAGTTATTCTTGAGAACTGCAAGTGATAAAAAGGGTGTGTTCAAAGGCTACCCAGTGACATTGTCCCATAGTGTCAACATCCAGAGCACCAGAGGGACCTGCACGTAACCCAGATGTGTGGATTCATCCCCTCTGTAGATGACAAAGGGCTCTCTAAACTATAGGATTCTGCAGCTGTGAGAGGGTGCTGGTACTATCTCTTGACCAGTAAGGAGAGGAGAGCCAAGAACTGAAGCAGAGCTGGGCTGTAATGCACGTTCTGACTTCCAGCTGATGTGAGTCCCTCCTGAGAGTCCTCTGGAGGATGCATGCACCGAGCAGACTTGGGAGGACTGAGGAGCTATTGCAGCCAGCAGCCTGATGCCACTGCTGACTCATTCCTCCTCAAGGTGACCCACGGCTTCCCCAACACAGACACTGGTCTGAGCCCCATCACTGACCTCATCAACCAACTCCCTGAAGAAGGCCTTGGCAGGTGGTGTTACCTGATTTGGTTCATGAGTCTATCTTTAAATTCACTCCTGCAACTAAACTGAGAGCACTGTGATGGGAAAAGCCAGCTTTAGTGCTGTCTGCTGCTAAGTATGTTTTTAGGTCACTTGCTTTCCATGGAAAGATAGAATTCTACCCCAGTACTAAAGATATACTGCTTGGATATACTTGTATGAATTCACAGATCTCTTCCATTGTAAATATTTTATAACTCAACAGTTGTTTTGGCCCAGCAAACCACTTTTTGAGTCTTCCTTATTGTAATTGCTCTTATTGCAGCTCTTCTAACCAACTTTAAAAGCAGATATTATGAATCCTTTGTACTTCGATAGTCATTTCAGTGGAGCTCCATCCTTAGAAATCTCATGACCAGGTTGCTAAGTATCCAAAGTGTAGAAAGGTTGACTCATAGATAACAAATAGATAATAAACAGTTATTGATTTAAACTGTAGCAATTATAAAGATTTATTGCTCCAAGAAGCATATATTGAGTATAAAAAGTAAGGTCAAAATTTGACATTGAATTAGCAATAAATATTGATATATACCAAAGCAGAAAAGCAGTAGATGTAAATAATGCTCACTGCATGTTGAATCTAAAAATGAATCATTTGCTCTCCCCAACCTCAGGTTCCCAAGACACATAAAAGATTTGTTAAAACATAGGAAAGAAGGTGCCTTGATGTAGAGCCATTTAGACATCATCTGCCTCCGCTGCCGTGATATTAGGATAACTAATAAAGTATGCATATTCCTGTTGTCACACCAGTGTAGCTGTTTCCAGGTTGATTTCATTCCAGGCACTGAGTCAATTGTAAAATAACATTGTGCAAGAGACCACACTTACTCCAGCTAGCTAGAGGAGACATTACCACTCTTCACTCAGCGGAGACACCCATTGGGTTTTGTTCACAAATGGTGCTTTCAGAACATAAATGCTTATGTGCATAGACCAAGCATCTGGATGGAAAGCAAGGAATATGGTCATCAAAGTTCTGCCTTCTGAATTTTCCTTTTCATTCAGATGTCATCATGACTCGAGTTACATGTAGGTCGTAGAACCTAGAACACTTCATCTAATGGGACGCCTATTTCTCTACCATCTCTGTGCCTTTCTGCCTTTCCAAGGCCCACTGAGAGGATCACTGAGCACAAAAACTTTCCAGAGTCTAGTTTTTGGGTCACAATAGCTGACTCTGGTGTCTACAGATGCATTTCAGCAAAGCCATTAAACTACTGAAATTTTATGAAACTTGCATATATATTTACATGCTATGTAATTCTCCTTAGAGAGAGTCTGTGGTTCTGGATACACAGAGTCTGTGGTTCTAAGAAGATCTGTGGTCTGAAGGAGGATGAGAACTTACAAAGAAACGTGAATTAAAATGGAGAGAAGGGACAATTGGAAGCATGTCTGAGGTAAGAAAGAGGTTTCCTGTTGTTTTCATAATAGCATTCTCCAGGGACCTCTGTTGCAGCTGCAGGAGGAACCATATTTAAGCCCACAACATTTGGTACCTGAAAGTGGTGTGGTTGCCCCTCTTTTCTGGTTCAATCCTGGCCTTGTGGAAACTCCCAGCTCAATCGACATCCAATATTTAGTGCAGTTTATCCTCTCCTCCCCTCCCACCTCAGCCTGCAGGTCTCTCCAGGCTTCACCTCAGGCTGCCCTTTCAGCTGGGATGCTGCAGGCCCCACCCAGTCATTGCAGGACAAGAGCATCTTGTCTTTCAGTCTCAGTTGGAACAGCACTTCTTTTGGGAACCATCTGATTACCCTCAGTCGGCTTCTCCATCATGATCCCTGTCATCTGTGTTCATTTCTCTCAAGGTTCTGACCACGCTGTCTTATAAGCACTTGCTTTGTCTTTCTCCCTCACTAGACTGTGCACTCCTGGAAGGCAACAAGCATGGCTTTCATCCTTATCTCCCCAGCCCCTGAGAGCAGAGTCTCCCCAGCCCCTGCAGCTGCTGCAACTCTGCCTGCTCCAAGAAGCTGTCTGCACTGAACCCCTGAGGTGCCCTGCCCCCATGGTGCTTCGGGGTACTGTGTGGTTAATCCTGGCACCCTAGGCAGATGGGAAGCTGCTTGGAAACAGAGCCAGTTTTCCTAATAACCGACTCACAAAAAAGCCCAGCCAATAGAATTCTTTGTGAATGCCTGTGAGGAACAGGGCAGGACCAAGATGGGCATTGGTTAAGGAAAACTGAGCCCCTCTCGCTTTTGTCATATGTCCAGGAGGAGACGCTGTCTCTGAGTCTTCACGAAGATGGGATTAAGAGAGAAAGCAAATTTTTGGAAGGAAATGTTTGAGTTTTAATGCCAGCCATAAAGGACTTAAATGGTCTTTTACTGTCAACCACCTCAGGATTGCAAAAGTGGATGAGGAAGAGGGTCCTGCCACAACCAGTGGATCCTACCCAGGAAGAGCCCTACTTCCCCAGCTTGAGATTCCTCTTCCTCACTCAGACATAGACCTGGGGTGCCCTGTGGGGGAATCTCATCAAGACATGTGCCTGGGAAGGAATCTTTGTCTCTGCTCCTCAGAGACTGCATTCTCCTCACTGAGAGGCAACAGGCAGCCAGGCTGGGGAAGCTTCTTTATACTCTCAAGCAGCACAAGCAGGAAATGGTGAGACCTCCACTGAGAACTGTAAGTGCAGTACATCATTAGAGGACATTAAAATAGCTGGAGAAGCAGTCTATGTTCATGGATCAGGAGACTAGTGTTGTTTAGATGACAATGCTTTTCAACTGACCTACAGATTCAAGTTGGTCCCCATGAGAATCTCAGCTAAATTCTTTATAGAGATTGAGAAGCCAATTCTAAAATTCAAATGGACTTGCAAGGGACCCAGAAGAGGCAATGTATTCTTGAAACAAAAAATAAAGTAGTGTACTCATACTTCCTGATTTCACAACTCACTACAAAGCAACAGAAATCAAGACAATGTGATACTGGCATTAAGAACAGGCATAGAGATCAATGAAATGTCATGAAAAGCATCCAAAAATAAATCCACACATTTAATAGTCAACTGATTTTTGACAATGGTGTCAAGACCACTCAGTGAGTAAAGAATAATCTTTTCAACAAATGGTACTGGGACAAATGTACACAGCCAGACACAAAAGAATGAAGTAGAATCCTGACCTCACTCCATTCAAAAGTTAACTTTAAAAGGAGAAAAGGCCTAAATAAAAAAGCAAAGCCATAGAAATCTTGGAAGGAAAAAAAAGGATTAAATCTTTATGACCTTGGATTTGGCAGTTCAGTTCTCAGTAATAAAACAACAAGTAATCTAATTAAGGAATGGGCAAAGGATCTGAGTAGACATTTCTGCAGGGAATATGTACAAATGACCAGTGAGCACATTAGAAGTTGCTCAGCTTCATTAGTCATCAGAGAAATGAACATTAAAAAAAAAAAAGTTACAGTGAGATACCACTTCATCCACTGGCATGACTAGAACAAATTAGATAGTAATAAGTGTTGGCGATGATGTGGAAAAATCAGAACCCTCATATCCTGCTAGCAGAAAGATAAAAATTGTGCGGTCAACTTGGAAAATGGTTTTGCAGTCCCTCAAATGAGTAAGCATAGAATTACCATGGAGCCCAGAAATTCCACTTTTAGGTATATATCCAACAGAGAGAAAATATGTTCACACAAAGCCTTGTACATGACTTTGTTCATAGTAACGTTATTCATAATAGCCAAAAGTCAGAAGCAATCCATCAACTGATGGATGAAGAGACAAAATTTGGTATATTCATACAATGGAATATTATTTCTCTATAAAAAGGAATGTAACTCTGATACATGCTACATGAATGAAACTTGAAACTTGCTAAATGGAAACAGCCAGTCACCAGAGACCACATAAGGTACTATTCTATTTTTACAAAATGTACAGAACAGGGAAATGTATAGGGACAGAGAGTAGATTAGTGGTTGCACAGGGCCGGCAGTGGAGTGCAGACCGCCTAAGGAAACAATAGCTAAAAGCACAGGGTTTTGAGAAAAATATTCTGTAATTGCCTGGGGTGATGATTGCACACATCTGTGAGTATGTTAGAACCCACTGAATTATACAGTTTAAATAGGTAAGTTGTGTGGTATGTTAATCATAATTCAAAATAACTGTTAAAAAGAGGATGGCAAGTCCAGAAGTTTTGAAATTATCTAGCCTGACTGCAGTGCAGGCCACTGTCGCTGTAGCTAGTGTAGAGCACACAGCTGGAGAGAGGGAGGTCCCTGCCAGATGCGGAGATGGAACAACGTTCCCAGGTTGGTGGGGAGCCAGGGGAGGCTTTAGGCTCTAGAATGTTGGTATGGCAGATTTCAGGGAGGATAGGAGGAAGAAGAGGCAGCGTGATCCACTGTTCCACGGTCAACTGCATTTCCACAGTCCCAAAAACACCTCTTGCCCTGCAAATGTACTCCTTTGTTTCTCCCCATTCTTAACTTCCTCAGCTGGTGAGGCCATTGTTTCCTCCCAGCTTACAGTCCTGCCTTCTTCGCTGATCCTGCTAAATATGAACTCCCATATGCAGCATTAGTTTATCCATTTATGTTTTCTAAAGAAAAATGCAATGATTGTTTGATGCCTCACTGTGGCAGAGGCAGGATTATTCTGACTATAGACTCTTTTTCATGCCTGCTGACTTCCAGTAATAAAGCAAATATTCCCCTCAGCTCCAACCTCTTTTCTCTATGACCTGGGGGTGCAAGTTTGGGCAGCCTGAGAAGTAGCACTCCCAGAGGTGGGGCCAGAGTTGGGGAAATGCTTTCTAGGAAGGGATGTGCCACAGTAATTGGCCACAGCCTCAGCTCTTCAATGGCCTCCAGGACTGAGCATAAACCTTGCCTCAGCCTTTTATGCCATTATTCAGAAAAAAACACTAATAAAAAAAGGGAATTGGTTTTGTCATGTTCATGTTATAAGGATAACACTGAATCCTCAACTCTGAGTGATAAAAATAATTGACAAACTTTACTACTTTAACTCTGAAACACACCTGTGTTCATCAGGAAACAATAGTGCTGCAATTTGCCGCTGAGAACCTTTCAAAGACGACGCTGACTCCTGCACCTTTGGGCAGCCAAGGGCCAGCGCAGGTGTGGGCAGCCCCCAGAGGATGCAAGAAGAGCAAACTGTGGAAGCTGGAAGGACCTTTGCAGGCACCTGGGAGCTGCCGTTATTGCCACCTTCGACGTGCCATAAAGGGGCCCTGAAGTGCTTGTGTGTGCGGCACACCCGAATAATTGCAAACAACATGATATGATGCTAGTAACACCAAATTCTCAGGTTTCTGGAATTATCCCCAACATTGAGCAAAAGCAAGAGTGCAGATTATATTGTGAGAAGGCTTTAATTTCTGACTCTTTAAATAAATATTGAGAGTATTGCATAAGGCTTCCATACCACACTGTTCATTTAAAACAAAGTGAACTTTTGCTCTGTGCATGGCTGTTTGCAGACGTGGTCCCAGAGAAGGTTCTTGTGGCTGTAGAGAGTCAGTGATTCAGCTGGAGGAGATGTAACTGTCCTCCAACCCTGCCCATCACTGCTCTCCAAGGCCTCTTTCAGATCTCTCAGGGGTCAGGCTCTGAGCCTGGAGAAAATGGATCCCTGGGTTCAAGCAGGCAATGCTTTTAACCTGAGTTACAGACAAGGTGAGATCTGGTGAGGGGAGGGACAGACTTGCTTGGGTGCAACATTGAAGGGGACACCAAAAACTCAGTAATTGAGATAAATACCACATAATTTAGTATTCAGAAAATCAGAATAAATAAAAAGTGGTATAACTTTTTTCCCCCTTTGCCTCAAGTTTCATAGGGCTTGGCATAACATTGTTTCTGGTTTTGTTACTTAAGATTTTGATATTTTGTTCATTGTGGATTTTGTACTATTCTTGATTTTAAAAAATATTACATGAGAATACTATTCATTAATTTTTGGGTGTCTTCCCCAGGCTAGGAATTTACTTGTGTCATTACAGTCCCAGCCCTGTTACAGATGCTCCTGTGCACAATAAAGCACTGTGGGGAATCAGAAGGGTGAGTCTTTGCAAGACTCTGGGGACTCACACATTTTCTCTCTCTCCCTTTCTCTCTCCCCTCTCCTTCCTTCCTTTTATCTGTGCTTTCTGCACAGGCTTTGAGGTTGAGGAGGCAAAATGAAAACAAACAAACAAACAAAAAACCACTTGTCTTATTTTCATTGGCAGGCATGTCTGATATAAGATCTTGAGTTGCAGCTTTCTGACATACCCCTAATTGGTAACCTACAGTTAGTTCAAAGGATATTCTTGGTATAAAACAAACCTGAGGACCAGATTGAAAATGGAATCATAAAAAGCTCAGCATTGGGTAATTCTCTCTATAAGACACCTTCAGGCATAAAAGTATGTTAGAATAAAACCCATATTGGAGGATTTAATAGCCTTCTCCAATTGCCAAGTGGTACTTGCATCTTGATGTATCTGTCAGGGAGTGTTGGTGGAAGAAAGCTGACGTCACAGGCAGGTCAGTAAGCCGCATAGCACAGATGAGGGTGCGGCTCCTGAGACCTGTGCCAGATACAGCCAGGTGCAGAGCAGGGGAAACACTCTCTCTATCTGCCAACAGTGCTTATCCTGGAGGCAGGGGAGGAATTGGGGGACATTTTCATTTTTCTTCCTTATACTTTCATGTATTTTAAATGCCTTTCACAATAAGCATGTATAATTATTTTTTCAAAAATGATCTTCATATAATTTTAAGTGCTTTCTATAGGGAGGATAGTAAATGATATTTCTTAATTCCAATAAATACCAAGCAATAGAAAAGCATCTAAGCAGTAATACCAGGTTTGGGGATTAGTATCAAAAAGAATTGCTGGAGCTCATGCTGCAAAAAATTGAAAAGTGTTAAAAACCCTGCCACAAAGATTCCTGTGGTCCTACTTGGAAATGAGGAGAGGGACTGTCTTATTCCTTAGAGCTGTGGAGTCCCCCACCCCGCAGTCAGGCCTCTATCAGAGTTCCCTACTGTGCGGACAATGTCACTTCGGCTGGAGGTTTCACACCCCAGGTGAGATCACAGTGAGGGCTGGCAGTTGAAAAATTGTTAATTTGGCAGAGTTTTCTGGTGGTTTCTTTCCAGCTGACCCAAGTCCATAGCTGCAGAGCTTGAGAAATTTCACCTGGGAGAGCCAGAGCTCCTCAATAAGGACGGCTTTTGTACTAAGAGTCCTGTGAAGAAGGCTGAAGTTGGGCTCTGGAAGTGTGAATGGGCCTAGAGCAGCCACTGGGGGAAGGCAATGGTGGCTCAGCTAAGATGGAGCATAGTTGTCATGATGCTGGGCTGGAGGAAACCAGGGGCCCTGCCCGGACTGGGTGTCTGCTAGAGCCTATGTGTGTTCAGGCTGAGGAGAGCTGGCTGTGTGCATGTGTACGTGTATATGTCAGAGGGGTTGTCAGCACACACAAACTATGGCCTGCCAAAGAGGTTGAGTGAGGCAGAAGAGCACTGTCAGTCACTGCTCCCAGCTTAGCCTGAGTGTAAGTGTGAGGCAACAACAGAAGATGATGTTGAAATGTAAGTTCCAAGAAGATGAAGATTTCATCTGTTTTGTTCACTATGGATGTATTCAAAACTCCTTGCATATATTAGACACCCCATAAGTGTTAAGTAAATGAAGAAAAGAAGGAAGGAATGATAGATACTAGGAAATGGACAGCAGGGTGGAGTACGGTGTAAGCCTCAAATGTAAGTTGTTAGAACTGATGTTACCTGACCTCAAGACTTCTTAGAAAGCTGAAGTATTAGATACAGTGTGGTATTGGGATAAGGACAGATGAAAAGATCGGTGGGGCATACAAAGGCCAGAGACCCATGTCAATAGAGTCAATTGATTTTCAACAGATTCATGAAAGCAAGTCAATAAGTAAAATCTTTTAAACAATTGGTGCTATAACAACTGAATATAAGAAAGAGAAAAAACATTTCCACCTTCATCCCCATAACATATACAAAAATCAAGAGGGGTCATAGGCCTAAACATAAAAGCTAAAACTATAAAGATTTTAGAAGAAAGCAAGAGAAGATATCTTGGTGGCTTGGGATAAGCAAAGATTTTTTAAGTAGTCTTAGAAATTGACAACCATGAAAGAAAAAAGACGATTAATTGGCCTTCACAGAAATGATACCATTAGGAAAATGAAATGACAAGCCTAAGAGGTAAAATATTCACAAAACATATCTCTGACAAGGAATTCAAGAATATATAAGGAACTCGAACAATTCTGTAAGATAACAGCTGTCACATTAAAAATGGCAAAATATTTGAACAGACACTCTACAAATGAAGATATATGAATGATCAATAAACACATGGAAAGTTTCTCAACTTCATTAGTCATCAGGGAAATTTAAAATAAAACCTCAAGGTAGCACAGTTTAAAGCACTAGAATGTCTAAAACCAAAAAGACTGACAGCACTAAATGTTGGCAAGAACCATAAGGGTTCTGGCTACTCCACGTTCTTGCCAACATTTAGTGCTGTCAGTCTTTTCCCTCATGGGAATCTGAAATGATATGATTTATAAGAAAATCCTACAGTGTAAGACAATGGCTTACACTTTATATCATTTAAACATGCACCCACTCTTTGGCCTTGTCACCTCATTCCTGCATGTTCATCTAAGAGAAATAAGAATTTGTGTCCATACAAAGATGAGTAGATAAATGTAATAGCCAAAACATGGAAAAAACATGTCCATTAAAGGAAGGTAGAAAAATTACAGTATATTCACACAGACTTCTCAGAAACAAAGAGAAACAAGTTACTGACACACTGACATAGATGAATCTCACAGACTGATGGTAGAAAGAAGCATATGAAGCTCAAGAACAGGCAAAACTAATAATTGGAACAGTGATTGCCTTGTGAGATTGGGGGATTAAGTACAGAGGGACAGGAGAAAACTTTCTATAAAGAATGTAATGTTCTAAATTGTGAGGGGTGTGGGTTACACAGGTATATGTCTGTGTCAAAATTTTAAGGCTAAGGTTTGCACATATATATCCATTTTACATAAAGTAAAAAAAAACTGTAATAATAATTAACACATTGAGTGAAGAGATGGGAGTGGGAGAGGGTATAGATGAAATAAGAAAGGCAAAATGTTAATTGATGAAGATGAGTGATTAATACATAAGGATTTATTATACAATTTTGTTTAATTTCTCAGTGATAGGGTTGAGATGTGAGTTCCCTCGAAATCTCATGTTGAAATGTATCCCCAGTGTTGAAGGTGGGGCCTGGTGGGAGGTGTTTGTGTCATGGGGGCAGATTCCTCATGAATAGCTTGTTGCCCTCCTTGCGGTAATGAGTGAGTTCCTGCTCTGAGTTCTTGCAAGCTCTGGTTGTTTAAAAGAGCCCAGGACCTCCCCGTACCCTGACTCTTGCTCTTGCTCTTGCCATGTGATGTGCTTGCTCCTGCTTTGCCTTCTGCCATGATTGGAAGGTTTCTGAGGCTTCACCAGAAGCTTAGCAGATGCTGGCACCATACCTCCTGTAAAGCCTATAGAACCATGAGAAAAATCAACCTCTTTTATTTATAAATTACCAGTCTCAGGTATTCCTTTACAGCAAAACAAAAACAGGCGAAAACACTGATATTGTTTGGATCTGTGTCCCCACCCAAATCTCATGTCCAACTGTAATCCCCACTGTTGGAGGTGGGGCCTGGTGGGAGGTGATCGGGTCACTGGAGTGGAGTTCTCATGAAGGGTTTAGCACCTTCCCAATTGGCACTGTACAGTGAGTGAGTTCTCATGAGATCTTGTTGTTTAAAAATATGTGGCACCTCCCAGCTCTCCTGCCATGTAAGAGACCTGCTCCCACTTTGCCTTCCACCATTAGTAAAAGCTCCTTGAGGCCTCCCCAGAAGCAGATGCTGCTATGCTTCCTATATGGTGTCTGGAACACTGAGCCAATTAAATCTCTTTATAAATTGCTCAGCCTCAAGTATTTCTTTGCAGTAGTGTGAGATGGACTAATACACACACTTAATGTGAAGATTTTCATTAAAAAATTTAACTGTCATCTGGAACTAGCCCTTTTTTGGATCTAACTGTGTAGTAGAAAGTAGATCAGAGCACAGCACTCAGGACAGAGGACACCATCTCGATTTATTTAAGCAGCTAGAAACATCTTTTACACATCTCCTCAAAAAGTACATAACATGCACAGCAGGTTGAAAATCACAAGCCCGAGCCAAAAAGGAAAGAAGGCAGAGAAGCTTTGAGAGAACAAGGTTCTGAGCTCAGGGGATGTTCTTTCCTAACTCTGGGCACTTGAGTGGGAGAGGAGGTGTGGAGTGGACAGTAAGCATGGCCCAGGTGTGGG